TCAGAAGCATGCCTAGGCGCGTTGGAGAATGCGTAGCACATCAGGGTGCATCCACACATTATTAAAGGTCAAAGGGCTTTAAAGCAGTGCAATCATTTTGAAATTTTTATCATTTACTTATTATGCTTCATTAAGTACTTATACAAAATTTTATTAAAATAAAACCATTTAAAATGGGTGTTCGGATTTATATGTCACTGATTATACATACCGTATAGTGCAGTCAAAGTGTATTTTAGGTAGAGCTCTTGATTTTTTGTAGAAGTGTTTTAGCTTTTTGAGCGAATACAATGTGAAAAGTCGTGAAGTATTTCATCTTTACGGTGACAAGAAGATCACATTAGAGCAATATACCTTTCGAAAACATTTTCCAAAAATACAGTAGCCTCTGAAACGTCAAATACTAGGTTTCAGCGATATTTAATGATTCCTTTTTTGCCGTAACTCCGTCGTCACTTGATCAATTTTCAAAACCTACAAAGTTTTTTGTCCTTGGCACAGTATTAGCCTTGTGTCAACATTTCATCAAAGTCCGTACTTCCAAGTTGTAGCAGGACCTAGGATTACCTGAGAGATCGACAGACGGATAAACAGACTGACGGACAAACAGACTGACGGAGATGAGTGGCATGGTTTTTCGAGATGTACAGGTGATACAACGTGATTTCTTTATATAATTCATTACCCCCTGTAATTAAACTTTGACAGTTGACAGATTTAAAACACTTTAGTCGCATTGTCATTTATGTATTTATTTTATTTGTCTGCGTTTTGTATGGGTTAAGTAGAATAATAGCGTAATCTAAGCCTAAATAAAGACGTTTGTTATTATGTGATGAAACTTTGTAAATCCGATTTTGAACTGTCTAGTTCTGGATATACAAAGTGAATGAGTTGCGGAGTTAGGCGGATCTGTATGGCAGGCACACCGCACGGCGGCGTCATTATCGAGAGCTCTGAGGAGAAAATCGGGTGGCAGCGGTTGATGCGAAAGTGTTCCGAGACTACCCGTTAGAGAAGAGTCATCGATCAGTCGGACAGCCCTTCTATGAACAGCATCAAAGATAGATAATGTAGTCGGGGCAGCCGCACCCCAAGGATGTGAGCAGTACTCGAGACTAGGTCGGCGATTACAACACCTCACCAGAGACATGGAGGGTAAAACGTACAGACATAGTAATGATTCACGTATAACAAAATTTAATGAACTTTTCGCTGATCTGCATGGAAATTTCTATACCTACTTCCAATCAAACATTAACCTTGTTGCATAAACGTGAGAACATCACCGTCCTGTAGTATCATCGTAAAATTCCCTAAACGAGGCAATATTCACAGCTGAAAGCGTCCTGTTGTAAAACGGAAGTCGTTTGTATACACAGTATGCACTAGTCTGGTATCGACCAGTCGGTTATCTCAGTTAAAACGCGGTAAACACACGTAACCTCCACAGCGTTACGTACGCTTGCCGCTTTCCATTCTGTTCTCATTCCCGCTTCCCGGCTCTCGTTGTTAGTTGACCCAGTGAATCTTGGTACAAATGGAAGGGAGAACAATTTTACAACGCGCGGGAAAATTAAGCTCATGGTTATATTAGTATGGAAATGAGACCAGTTAATAGATAGATAGTCCAAGGCTTTTTATCATAATGATGGAGTGTTACCCGATTCATTAAGCCTGAACGCAAAATTGCTCGTAGGGCACAAACTCTTCCAGCGGTAAGGCGTTTTTAGAGTAATGGATTGTAACATATCTCTCAGACTAGAGAAAAAATTATACGGTTTGCATAAGATGGGCCCCTAATTCCCATATTAAATTATGGTACAACTTACACCAAGAAAAAAAAAGGATTTGGATCTTACTCGAAGCATGGTCCACATCTAATACAATGTCTAATACAATCATTAATAAAAAGAAGTATGTTCATTGAGATTATTTCGAAAAACATATCTTCTATTTTTATAGGTTTGTATCAAGTCAGTCAAACAAGATCATTAATTTTCGTCCTTTCTGTACAAAATTCTGATTAATACATTCTAAGTAAAATTAAATAATGCTTATTATTTGACCAAAATCGAGTAGATATGCAATTTATTTGAATATCGTGCGGAAAACCCTGTTTCCTTTTAGCAACTTTTATGAGCTATTTTCCTAGCTTAACAGCAATGAGCTCCCTCGCTCTCTACTCTCTACAGGCATCGCGTAGTTGGTCGCCCTTCAACTTGCATTATGGGATTTTATATCAAACACAACAAAGGTTGTTTTGCTGAATTTCATCAAAATGGGGCGTTTTAACTCCTCACTTGTAGTTGATGCTAATAATACAGTCATAATACATTTTTATCTCGTTGTAATAATAATAATAATAATAATAATAATAATAATAATAATAATAATAATTCCGGCTTTCTTTCCGAAATCTATCCAATGACTGCTCTTGCATTTAACCCCGTTAATAAAGTGAACTACACAGGAATTTAGAGCATAATGTAAATTGACTTACAAGAGTAAAACGTGAAACTAGATACTCGTATATCACTCTGCTAGTAGCATGTACCTAACATTCTTGTTAAATAATAATATTCCCTGTTGTTTATCTCATTACTCATCTGATTATATAATTCGACAGCGCTATAAATACCATTCATAAATAATAAGAACCTTAATTTTTGCCATATGTTGCTATATTAAAAATGCTCGCTAGTTTACCAGAAGGAGCATATCCTCCAGGATAACAACCACACATAAACAAGATGTTACATTGAGTATTACATAACTGGGGAATCATAGGGAGTGTAAAAGGTAAGACCTGGTGAGGATACCTTAACCCGCTCCTCATTTGCGTGATTAGCCAAAACGAGAAAAAATGAAGTCAAGTTAGAGGTTGAATCTCTTCACTAGATAGGAATCATCAAGCCAGTGTTGTCCTTTATAGTACCTTTATAGTAACTGTATGACATTTGAAAGGCCATTCTTTATTCAATAGTACTCGATTTAAGTATAGTATAAAATAAACCCTTTCATAGAAAAAATAAACCTGGCCGCAAATTGACATCCATCCACGGACCAGGTAGATCACAGGAAGCGATGTTTAAAAGTCCTCAAAGAACAAACAAAGTAAGCCTATCCAAGGCACGCCTCGATCTTGTCGGCACAGCCTGGATTAATTAAACAGCGGGGTTACCTAATCCAGGCAATTTTTCATCAATCAGACCACGATGAGCAGTGCCGCAACGACTGACGGATGGCTTATAAAATAAATTAAGCCCCCATCGGAATCAATTACAGCCGATAGTTTATCTCTGATCGGTAAATCATTCGAACCGGTCGCTTGTCGACGGCTTGGTGCGTTTAGAAAAGGTAAAAACCCGGCGGGGGAAACAGATTTTTGTTCTGCAGGTATTTTGTGATGTTACGTTCCAGTAAAAATAGCTGTATATCATTTACCTGTTCCCAATTTTAAGTAAAAAAATCGAATTTGTTCGAATTAGTTATCAAAAATGTCCCAGTTGCCACCTACAAATAGTTATCGCCTCTGTATGTACTAACTACATACAAAAATGTTCAGCAGATGATAACCGCTTGTATGCTTTTCATTTGTCTGCGTCCACTGTACTGAACCTATACTGTACTAATGATTGCTAAAGAGCATGAAACAACAATGAAATACAGTTGGTCATGATGACCGAGGCGCCAGAATTAGTTTTTTCAAGTAATTATAAACCTGAAGCTAAATCCTCAAACTTTATGTAAAAGATATTTAAATCGTGAAACTTTTCTTCATTTAACTGGTATTGTAACTCAAACGGCTCCTGAAAATTCAGTGGTATTCCACCCTTATCTTGAGCATCCTTAAAAGTGAAATTCTGATCCACTACTAGACATATTTTTATTGTTAGCCAGCAAAAAAGTGAATTTTTTTAGCGTTTGATGACATTGTTGCGTGGGATATCCAGAGTCAACTTACTTAACGCCATTTTTCATGTAATTACCAAATTTGGAACTGTCAGAGCTTCTCAGTATAATAGTTATTCTGGAACACATTTGAATAAAACATCATGTTTATGGCCTAACCGGATAGGCTGATGGATTTTGCCAGAACTACGACAACGCTACAACAACACAAACAAATGCATAATTAAGATACACGTGGATCAATGTTGGATGTAGTGACATAGATTTCAACGTAGGCGTACGTTGAAATACTAGATACCGGGAGTGCATTCATTGTACCCTGGAAACTCAAAATATACAGTAGGAAATTAGAAATCTACTATCAGCCACAAATGTAAAAATGAAAGTTTATCTACGTTTCGGTTACCCTGGTGGTGCAATTCAACATGATCCTGTGGTGCGATTCAGCAGAATATGGAGATAGATCAGTGACACAACCATAGTTTCGTATGAATAATGTGTTTGAGCACCACAATCAGTGTTGCCAACACTTCGGTAATCAAATCTACTAAATCACACTGCCAGATCTACCAGAAATCTACTAGATGAAAATTATGAATTTCATAAATCTACCAGAAAATCTACTAGTTATAGCTAACCCTCATTTTGCAGTTAATTACGTTTTAGGTTTTAAAGGCGTGTGCGCATATTATGTATTTTTAGTTTTTACTCTAATTTAGATTTTTGAACATATATTATTTCAAATTAGTAATACTATATTGTGAAAATATATTTTGTATATTTTGTAAATATTAAAGATAAAGGTAAATCTATAAATGAAAGCAGAACATTTAGTAATATTGCAAAAATATATTTTATCTAGAAACGAAACAAAAATAGACGCATTAATTTTAGTCCTTGCACGAATAATAAAAAATACACTTTCTAAAAATAAAAATAATTCACTATTAATACAGTCAAACAAATCTTGCGTTTTCCTTATGCTTTTTGGATTCACCATGGCTTTTAAGGTCGGCGTAATGACTCGTAATTATTTTACTACAAAATTTGCATTTAGCTCCCCTTCCTAAAGTGCTGCCAATAACCAACAGCCATTCTTTTAAACTAAGGTCCTTTAACCAGGCGTCTCGAAACTTTTGAGTATATTGCGGTTTAGGCATGGTTCTGTAATCTGTAATACATAATAATTCAAAGTAATCTACATCATATATGTATCAGTATCATGCTCACTTACCAAAATCAAATAATTAGGCAGGCAGTCTTGAAATAGCAGAATAGTATGCTATAGCTACTAGAAAGCACACAAATTATACTGTAAATAATGTTCAAAAATCACCTAAATCAATACGAGATGAACTTCACTTGTCTGTGCAAGAAAAAACAATGTCTGTGATTCCCGTGGATGATGCTCAGAACGTGATGTGATCAAATCACGTGACAAAAAGATGGCGGCTGAATTTCTCGCGCCATCTACCGAAGGTATTGGCAAACATCATGCAGTTAGTGATGTACAACCCCAGTAGATGTCCCAAAACGAGGCGCAAAATTGTTCATCTGACTTTCATACCACTGATTTCCGACAAAGGAGAACTAAGAGAAGAAGTACGCATACGCAAATTAATTCATTGGTTCTGCCATCTATCGATTCGATGTTCAACTAAATCAAAATAGGATATTTCCCAATGACAGTTTGCTACTTTCTTGAATTATTACTTCAATTGACAAATTGACATGAGTAACTAAGGTTCATAATGATATAATTCGAAAGTGGCTTACTAATTATTCTGATTCTTTCATTCTACTGGATTTTCTACTAGCCACTAAAACGTAAGTTTGCCCACTAAATGAAGACTGCAATCTACCAGATCTGGTAGAAAATCTACTAAGTTGGCAACCCACAATGCTGTTCCTCCTATTTGATATCAAGATGGCGAGTATGTCCTCAAGAAGGTGGGATCTGGGAGGGCACGTCTTGAGACGTAGATATAAAGAGACGCAAAACCAAGAACCCAGGCAGCAGCGGTGGCCGCGGTAGTAGACTCTTCGGTCTCCTGATCAGTCGCCGTGCGCTGTGCGGGTTCGAGTCCCGTTCCAGGAGAAATTTTTGTCTTGGCTATGGATGTTGTGATTGTCCGTAGGTGGTAGATGGTCTCTGACTGTCGAACGTGGAGGTACCACCCGGCGGATCTCGTAGGCGGAGCCAGAATGTGTGCATGTTGCATGCACACGTGTTCCCTCGCCAGAGTCCGTGTGGCGTTCCCCCTTTCCCTTGTATCCCCCTATAGCCCCACGGTACACAATAGGTGTTTAGGCCTTAGGCCTTCGTGGTAGTTGGAATATAAAAAAAAATATGACCTCGTATCCTTCTGTCACGGAAATAAATAAATAACTTTTTCTAAATGTCTCTGCTTTTACTATAATCGCAAAGTATTTGTATGACGTGTAAATTACGAAACACCATATTGCTCATTTCCGTTGGTCTGTCTGTTTGTCTGTCCCCCTATCTGTCAGTATGTCCGCTATTCCTAGGCACCGCCGGACTTCAAAAAGTACGGCAGTGTTATTACCTACAAAACCTATATAATATCAAAAAAAATCTGTAAAATGTCAACTTGTGCACTAGATAGCCGCAAATGTGCCGCTAGTTCATTGCGCGCCTACTACAAGTAAGCATAAAGCGAATGTTAGCTAGTTCAAAGGTGACAATTTATACGAAAACCTACATAATGTCATAAAAAATCGGTATAGTCACTATAAAGTGAGAAATTCTACCTGCATCGCGGTAAAGTTGTATTTACTATTGGCTAGAATTGATGAGGAAAAAACATATTCAATGTATTGAAAATGGCCATATTTGATATAATATTTTTTCAATATTAAAACATGAACATCAACTTATTGTTTATATATCATGTTACTTTTTCCAAAAGTACCTAAGTCACCTAAAAACACATTACTCCTCACATAGTTAACAACATCGTGCCTTAAAACAAAACATTCTTCTTCTAATTTGAGGTTATGTTGTTATCAGAGTGTTGTTAATTTGGCTTATTCCTAAGGATCCTGAATTTTGGGCGACATTAGAGGAAAAAATTTCTTGCGCATAGAAAATCGAAATCATTGTGTTATAGTCGCTGCCACAAGTGGAAGACATTTCTTTGACACACGTGGTTATATACAATTTCATCAGAAGTTACTCTTATTTTCAACCAATAGGTTACCAACTGTATGAATGAGTAAGAAAGAGAGCGACATAGTATGTTTCCTTTATTGTTAAATTTGGGTCAGACCTATGTGATTTTATACGGCAAAATTACTACGATTTTACCACCAGATGACCTAAATAGTGGTTTGTATCCTTCGACCTATTAGTAATAAATGCCTCCTTGAGCTAATATTGACTGCTAAATTACTTTTATTCCCCACTTTTTAAATTTGTCATGCAATATTTTTAAACCATTTTGTGGTCGAATTATCGTAATTATAACTTAAAATGTTTGTTGAACACTCACCACGTATACTTAGAGCCGATTATTTGAAAAACAAAGAGAATATTAACAATTCGATTATTATGTTCATCCTATAACATCACCAGTTGTAGGGATTTCCAAAGACAGTCAACACTTGAGATACCAGATCTACGAAACTAACCTCAGATACTGTAGCTGGTGTATATTCAAAGTTCATAATTCTATGTTGTTCAAATCAAGAATACTGTTTTCCACTGATACTTTACGGCCGTATTCCGTGTTACAAAGATTTTCATAGCCGTCAAATAAAAAAATACCAAAGCATGCAAAAGATGACTCAGATACTATACAGGGTTGCGAAAGGTTGGGAAATCTCGAAACTGGAGATACTACACACCAAAATATGTGAATTGACATAAACATACCTTAGTCCAAAAGTTAATAGTTCGACAGGGTGTCAAAGTTACCATTTTGTTTTCTATTTTTCATTATTGCTTGAGAAGTATTTCAGATTTTGGCATAAAACTCGGTATAAGGAGGTCCTCTAGAATGAGAAACAAGAATCCGTTATGTTTTATGACCAAACTTCTAGAGGGCGTCACTTACAGCACTACTTCGGTAAATACAAGTCACCAAGCTAATGAAATTTTTTTTGTACAATAACTCACATCTATTTTTCGAGGCTTTCGAAGGTAGATTTTTCTTTTTTTATATATAAATGTGTAATAGGTACAGGGCTGAACTTGTATCATTTTTAAATGCTTTCAGCCCTTTTTGTAACGTATCTCATTTAAATGTATTTTGATATCATTTTTACCTAGTTGCAAATAAACATTATTATTATATTTAATAACTTATCATAACCTTTTTGTCCTACCCGGTATACAAAAAACTGACCGAAAAATCTTATTTTCTCGTATTTCCACGGCAAAAAAGTTTACTTGTTAGTGTCTAAACCTAATAGTTTTCGAGATATTTGTTTTTAAGGCATTACATCTTGCCAATCATTAGATGCATATCAGAATATTCATCAAACGTATACTCCATGATGTTTAACAACTTATTGTCAACTTATGACAAGCATTAGAAACCATAGCAACGCTACTCAGATATTATCCAAAGCAACTTGATTATTATGTTATAAAAATGTTTTATCATCATGGTCAAATAATGCATTGGAACTTTTAAAAACAAATATATCGAAAAATATTAGCTTTAGATGCTTCTAACCCTTTTTTGTTGTGCAAATACGAGACAATAAGATTTTTCGGTCTGTTGTTGTATACAGGGTAGCACAAAAAGTTGTGATAAGTTATTTACCAAAATAGCGCTGTAAGTGGCGCCCTCTAGAAGTTTGGCCATAAAAAATAACGGGTTCTTGTTTCTCATACTAGAAAACCTCCCTATACTGAGTTTTATGTCAAAATCTAAAATACTTCTCAGGCAATAAGGAAAAATAGAAAATAAAATTGTAACTTTGACACCCTGTATCTCAAAATATCACCTTTGGGATTAAGGTATGGTTAGGTCAATTCACATATTTTGGTCAGCAGTATCTCCAGTTTCGAGATTTCCCACCTTTCGCAGTATATGCTGCATATTCAAGGTTTATTTGTCCATAAATGCATGGGAAACACAAAGTCAATCTACCTGACGCGATGTTTTATTCATTGATGGTGTATGGTTTCAATTTTTCTGATCATTACTCAGACAACATTATCATTACAACAGTCTTATTGATTCAGTGTCATTTTTACCAAACTTAAACTAAAAAGTTCAATCTGATCTACGTGATGAGTATTCTACTTAACGTTATCCTTTAACTAAGATAAGATTTATGTCGTTAGCATCAGAACATCGAGTAATCCTGTTCATTGATTCATCCATTAAAAAATTAAATTAACAGTCACTTAAGTGGTACTTAAGTGCCATTGGAAGGAAGCAACTAATAACACAAATTAAACGACGCTCCGAAAGCATTTGAATATTCATATTAAAACAATAAAACACCAGGATATCCAAAAGTTCCATGAAGAGCGGCCATAAATATTTTATGCCTACCGAGCAGATGCAGTTTTTAGTCCAACAAGCAGCCCCATGCTGTGTTCTCTTACATAAACGTAAACATCGTAAAAAGGGTAGCATAGAAAGTTAAACTGCCTGCGTGTGGTGCGATTTGTGATGTCGAGGTATGTGGCCCTATCGCAATTGAAAATAAGGTTTCGATAATCCTTGCATAAAGTTTCGGTGAGTACATCTGAAATAACCTTGAGATATTCTTCAGGGAAATACAAAAATCTCCTTTTGTGTTTTTTTGTGCAGATTTATCTATTAAAATCCTATCCGCAATCTATTTTCCGTGCACACACCTTCAACCGAATGTATGCCATATATGATATTACCGTTTCCAACTTTCACCAAGGTTAATAGGAACCATAACAGCTCCCTACCCTTCCCCCCTATAAGAATATCGATTTGTAGCCTCACATTTCAAGGTTAGACTTCTTGTAATGTTTCTGTTCAACATTCGGCGATTTCTGACAATTTTCCCAATAAAACATGATCATTGTGACATTAAGCCTGGCAACGCTGCATAGTAGAGGGAACTCTCAGCGTCACGTTGATGGTTCGTCACCACGCACAGGATTGTAATCAGTTACGGATACCCGTTTATGAGCGCGAACGTTTTATGCACGTTTTG